GAGACAGCGCCGATGAAGACGATCGGGGTCGCCGAGTCCCTCCCACAGGTCCTCCTCCCGCAAAAAGGGCAAAATGGTTAGTGTCGACTCAAAATTTGGCAAAGACACCTCCCCGCACGGGAGGTTCCCAAAACTGCAAAAAAACATGGCACGAAGGCCAACAACCACATATATACCAAACATGGCATGAAGGCCAACAACCACATATATACCAAACATGGACACGAAGGCCAACAACCACCAATATATCAAGAGGAGCCATGTACTTTAGTTCTCTTTCCATGCACATGAAAGTATTGAAGTAGTACAACAACAATTACTACTAACCCTACAACTACTACTAACATACTACTAACAACTACTTAACTACTAACAATGCTAATAGTAAGAACTACTTAACTATTAACAACTACTACTACTAACCACTACTACTTACTAACTACTACTATTTACTAACCCTACAACTAACACTACTAACTACTACAACTAACACTACAACTAAAACTACTAACTACTACTACTAACACTACAACTAACTACTACTAACACTACTAACTACTACTACTACTAACACTACAAGGGTAGGGCTTACCTTGGCGGCAAGAACGGCAAGAGCGAGGGCGGCGACGATGGCGGGGATGACCTGCAGAAGAACATGAGGATCAAACGGTCGAACGGCTTGCCGGGATCGACGGGCGGTCTGGTCGGCACCTTCCTCTTCTTCCTCCTCCCCTTCTCTTTCTTCCTCTTCTTCCTCCTCCCTTCTTTTTTCCTCTTCCTCCTCCCTTTTTTTTTTTCTTCTTCCTTCCTCCTCCTTCTTCCACCTACCTCCTCTCTATCTGGCTGGCCGGTGGCGGGAGGAGCCCGCTGGCGAGACCACGGGCAGCCGGGCCTCGTCGGGGGGCCGGCCGTGAGAGGGGGTGGGTGGCCGCCATGCCCGGCGAGGCTGGGCGCTGGGCAGGTGAGAGCGCCGGCCAGCCGCTGGGTCGCCGGGTCGGGCCGCCGGATCCGGCGGGAGGCCGGCGGCCGCCGAGGCGAAGCGCCACGGGAAGCGCGGCATGGGGCGGCTGGCCGTGTCAGCGGCCGCCGTGGTCGCCGGCCGGGCGCAGAGGTGAGCAAGGCGGCTGCCAAGGCGGGCGCTGGTGGGACCAGCCGAGGGCGGGCGCATGGACTGGGCGAGGGAGGCGGCGGCGGCGGAGGGAGCGCGGCGGCGGGCGCATGGTGACTGCAGCGCGGGGTCGGTCTATTCCAGGTTAGGGTTGGGATGGGCCGGCCTTTTTAGTCATGGGCCTTTGCCGGGTGCCAGGTGACGACGGCACCTGGCAAAGAATTTTTTTATTTTTTTTTTAAATTTCTTTGTCGGGTGCCTCATGACCTGGCACCCGGCAAAGGCTTCTTTGCGGGGTGCCCTGGGTGGCACCCGGCAAATTATTATTTTTTTGTTTTTTTGACCCCATTTTTTTTTGTGGGGACTTGCTATAGTAAATATATCCCTATTTCAAAATTTGGGACAATTATGAGTTTTTTAACTATATTTTCTTAATTTTTTCCGTTTCATTGAATTTTTCCGACTATTCCAAATTTGAACTACAGGTACATGAAATAATGGAATTTGGTCATTCAAAAAATAGTATTCATGATATTTAGGCTATGTCGAGGTCGTATGCAGGAAGTGGCATGAAATGTCGCGCATCATGTTGTCGTAACATGATGATGTACTCGCGGGGGAAGTTTATTTAAATTATATAAAATTCAAACGATGTCCGAAAATCATGAAACTTGTCGATGTGTCTTTTTATCACATGTGGAGGCCCTAGTAAAAAATTGAGAAAGTTTCGAGCAAGTTGCGACGTCGGCTGCCTAAAACCCAGACATCTCCACATATTTAGGCTATGTCGAGGTCGTATGCAGGAAGTGGCATGAAATATCGCGCATCATGTTGTCGTCACATGATGATGTACTCGCGGGGGAAGTTTATTTAAATTATATAAAATCCAAACGATGTCCGAAAATCACCAAACTTGTCGATGTGTCTTGTTATCACATGTGGTCACATGTGGAGATGTCTGGGTTTTAGGCAGCTGACGTCGCAACTTGCTCGAAACTTTCTCAATTTTTTACCAGGGCCTCCACATGTGATAACAACACACATCGACAAGTTTCGTGATTTTCGGACATCGTTTGGATTTTATATAATTTAAATAAACTTCCCCCGCGAGTACATCGTCATGTTACGACAACATGATGCGCGACATTTCATGCCACTTCCTGCATACGGCCTCGACATAGCCTAAATATCATGAATACTATTTTTTGAATGACCAAATTCCATTATTTCATGTACCTACAGTTCAAATTTGGAATAGTCGGAAAAATTCAATGAAACGGAAAAAATTAAGGAAATATAGTTAAAAAACTCATAATTGTCCCAAATTTTGAAATAGAGATATATTTACTGTAGCAAGTCCCCACAAAAAAAATGGGGTCAAAAAAAAAAAAAAATAATAATAATTTGCCGGTCCACCCAGGTCACCCGGCAAAGAAGCCTTTGCCGGGTGCCAGGTCATGGGGCACCCGGCAAAGAAATTTAAAAAAAAAAAAATTCTTTTTGTCGGGTGCCTAACGGCGTGGCACCCGCAAAGGTCGACGGTCCGCTGGTCGTCATCGTCAAGCCGGGCCACCTTTTGTCGGCGTGCCATATTTTGCCGAGTGGCGGCACCGGCAAAGACCAATTTTTGCCGACGGCTGGAATTTGCCGAGTGCCCGGCACCCCGCAAAGGCTGCTTTGTCGGAGGCCTTTCTTTGCCGGGTGCCGCCAGGCCTGGCACCCGGCAAAGAATTCCTTTGCCGGGTGCCCGATAAAAAGCACCCGGCAAATTTTTTTTGCTCCCGGCAAATCAGGCGTTTCCTGTTGTGCTAGATTTAGGTCCATTGTCATAGGCACAACACATACAATAATTAGCTATATGGTATCCTAAGAAACAACATCAAGACATTATGCATCGAAAGAATAGTATCATTTGTGTACTCATATATATATGACATGGCAACTTTAGAGAAAAATGACATGATACAAAAAATTGGAATTGTAGCTTAAGAAATGTAAAGGTTATTGCTCATCGCTGGACATATACTAGAAGTTTCGTTCAAATGGGAGTTTGCCCCCAATGCTCTGTTTAGTATACATCAGCTACACCTGAAAAAATATATTAGCTAAAAAATACAGGCATCTGTGTTGATTATGTGGTGGCATATGACTTTATATGACGAATATCCCATAAGTATACAGCTGTACTGGTTCCACCCATAGTTGTTAAAATCTCGATTCTATGGTGCTATTTTATGACTTTGTGATCCTAGTTTATTGGGTTGATTTGACAATTTGCTAAGTAGAATCTATAATTTTACAATTATAGTAGTTATAATTCTACGATTGGTGATCCCATCATTCGAGTTATCATCTAATACAAGACTTTAACAACCTTGGTTCCACCACATATAAAGAATCTAGCTAGCCAGTTTACTTCATCCATACCTGAAATATTGCTTTTTAGGATTGAGAAGAGGCTTTCTTGAATTTTATTGCAACTATGTGTGTGCTCTTAAATTACCTAAACTACAATGTGTGTGCTCTTAAATTACCTAAACTACCTTTGACAATTAGGTTGTTAAACCTCCAGTCAAAAGAACATTTATGACACTATATACGGATATAACGTTACAAAGATATAAATGACAGCCAAAGTGATATATTTGAGGACATGTTTTTTGGTGAGTAGAGCATAGATGTATCACGTACCATTGAAAGGACAATACCTTTAAATTATACAATAAGTTCAAAAAAAAATCGAGCACAAGTCAATAACTTAGACCTAACCAATGGATGATCTATACTCAATTCACAATTATTTGTATTTTATTTATTGAAAAACAAAATTATGAATCTATTTTTGCGCTCAACATGCATATATTTTTACTAACTTGTGGCTGAAGTTTATAATGTTTTAATATTTTTAATTTGCTTTATTATATGGTATTTTTTTAAATAGAGGGGGTACTTCTACGCTGGATACAAGAAGTCGACAACGGTCAAAACAATAGTTATGACTTGTAGTTAAGACAGTACGTATTTATACCTAATATTAAAGAGGCAAAATTTCTCTCCACCTATTTATTTGTCCGGACACCCCTTAACTAGCTTTTTGAAAGTGAAAAAGCACCTATAGTCCTTCTCTTTATATAACTAGGAATCCTAATCTAATTAGATCTCTCCGATTTCAAGTGAATAGGAATCTTAATCAAATAGAAAAAATATAATAATATGAACAGCTAGGAATCTTAGTCCAATTATATCTCTCCGACTCCGAGTAACCGGAATAGGAATCTTAATCCAAATGCATAAATATAAGAATAGAAATCTAATAAAGATGAAAGAAGGGTAGATTTTCTTTGTTTCATTTCATTTCTATTCTTTTTTCACTTTTTTCTGGTCTGTTTTTACTTGCTCCAAAGCACGTGTAGGTTCTGATTTGGACGCTTTTTACTAGGATCTGAATGTGTTCTGATTTTTTTTCCGTTGCTATTTGCTAGAGTATATTTCAATTTTTATCATGCTAAGTATATATTGTATCCCGTTACAACCTACGGACACGTTTGCTAGTACATAAAAAATACAAAGACGCACGACGGGTCAAAGTGACATATACTCCTTTTTTTCCTACGTATACGTCAGGGGGTCAGCAGGCCACCCTGACTATCCTCTGGTTCTTTTGCCAGTTGGAGACTGAAGCATGCCACCTGGCCTTCCTAAACCCAGCTCCATGGAGGCACGGATCCTATAAATTGAACCCTCGCGGCTCGGTGGTGCTCCCACCGCAAACTATTTCAAACCCTTCCTTTCCTTGCGCCGGTTACATCACTTCTTGACGCACAAACCTCCGAGCAAGACCAGGACGTACGGTACCCCCTGACCGTCCGTTCCAAACGCAAACAGCAGCGCCATGTCGTCCAACTCGTCGTCGTCGTCTGAGTGGACGAAGCCGCAGCACAAGCTGTTCGAGCGCGCCCTGGCGGTGTACGACGCGGACACCCCGGACCGGTGGCACAACGTGGCGCGCTACATGGGCGGCGGCACGTCCGTGGAGGAGGTGCGCCGCCACTACCAGCAGCTCGTCGTGGACGTCGCGCGGATCGAGTCCGGCGGAGTGCCGTTCCACTGGTACGCCGCCGCCCCGCCGCCATCGACGCTGCATCGAGGTGAAAACTTAAACACTGCCTGTCGTCCTCCCGTTAATTTCTCGCCCTTTATTATTCGGCTATTAATTACTCTTAGTTTTGGAGCATGCAACATGGCATAATAAAATTAATCATTCATGACGTCAAGTTGATGGACGCAGAGCAGTAGCAGCTGCTGTGCCACTACCCACATGAGATCTGATCCTTGGACAGGACAGATAGTTCGTGTGTGCATGCTTGAAACGGCGAAGTACCAAGAGATTAGTCATAGTTAAATCGCGTTATGCCTGCTTAAAAGACTGCATTGTGTCATGATGCATGCCACTGGCGTTGCTGCGATAATGTTTAATACTGTTTAGATAACCGTCCATGCTGTTAATTGGTACGACATGTCAAGTTGGCAGCTTTGGTTTTGGCTGCTAATTGACTAGCTAGCTACTCCCTCCGGGCAGCTTTCTTAGGCGTATCCTCATTTTTCATCTAGGCAGCTATTTTGGGCGTGAGTAGCAGGAACGAGGCGGAATGCTTTGGAATTCATGCTGAAGTAAATACTGCTGCCGTTGGGCTTGCATGCTGGGTAAGTAGATACTCCTACATGATAATTACGCGTAAGTAGATCTGCCTCGACAGACACATTTATTCATGGTTTATTTAGTATAGTACTTCACAGAATATACAATGTTATCACCAGTCATCATGCTCATACTAGATTCAGTCGCGTTCAGTACTAGATTCGGTACGTTGTTCAATACAGAGACGACGCAAAATATGCATAATGTTCCCTCGAAAAAATATGAATATAATTCATGTATTCATGAAAAATAAAAAGCTATGCATTTATGAAGGTCTGCTTTTGATGTACTGATGAAGACATAATGAGATTATGTATATACGCAAGGTTCAATAATCGAAATAATTCTCATGTGCCCTATAACTTGGTTGTAGGTTGAAATATCTGAATGAAGCGTCAATGAAGGAAAGAGTTCTCTGGCGGATTTATAATATAATTAAAATATCTACTGCGGAGATCTCCCCCACAGTCTTTTGCGTCAAAAAAAATTTTTGAAGGAAAGAGTTAAACAGTGGCTAGCTGTGCTCTCTGCTCTTTGAAGAAGATCTATAAATCATGCATGTGTATGCTGAATGGAAAATGGCAGAGTTATACCAAGAATCCAAGCTAGATTAATATTGCAGCCTGCTGGTCTTTGATCTTGTGTACCAAGTAGTTAGCTTTCGATCTAGCCATGGAGTGATATGAATGCTTCATATATTTAAGTGCTGGTCATGTAATTCTATCGAAATACTGTGGATCAACTAAGGAATTCTTCCTATGAATCTCAGCATTTGCACACTCCAAGAATGCCATATATACGTAGTTTCGAACATTCCCCATTTTGGTACTGTTTCGAATATATAGTGACTCTGGCAGTCTGGCGTAGCGTTCCAACGATGTGGGGCCCAAAGCGCCATTGCCATCACACAACCTCGCCTATTGCAGCAACCGGATGAAAGAATTGTCTACGTTTTTATTCTAGAAAGGAACCTAAACTAGAACAGGCACTATCGCACTACTAAAAAAAACTATGTTCCCTAAAAAAACTGTGTTCCCAAGCATCTTCCCAATCTTTGCACAGGAAGTTCACATTCCGGGCTGCCTGTGTATACGGCGGAGGCCGCCGGTCAAATGCCACATGTGTGGAAATGCAATGCTTCCATATAGGCAATTCCTTAAGATATCCGCCTGTGGTAACTCATTGAAAAGAATGATGACCCTAGTAAAGATCTGAGTATGATCAAGCTAGGAGAGAGGGAGTGAATTCAGTTACTGATAATTAATTTTTCTACATTAGATAAACAAAATTACCAAACTAGTAAGATGTGCACCGAGAGTTTATAACACACAAACCGAAGCATAAGTGCGAACACATGGTGGATATGTGCTCGTATGTGAGTGATGAGTAATTGTCAAGGCGATGATTAAAGTTTTGATTTAGTGTGGGTGAGACTAACTATGGCGAGTGATTTATGTGTGCAACACGTCTCTTGGCTTTGTGATGTGCAGGTGTTGAGCGTGAGACGGTCGACGGCAATAGAAAAGATCAAGCCATGAGTCCGTGTGTGATGGACCAGGAGCGGTGATGGACAGACGCGAAGGCTTGGACTGAGGGACCAATTAATGGGCGGAGGATGGACCGTGGACGGCTAGCACTTAGACACGTCGACAAGCAAGTGTGCATGTGGGGATGGTGATGGAGACACCGAGACGGTGTTGACCGAAGTGAAGATGGTGATCGGACCAAGTCAAAGCGGGCGCACTTGGTGATCGGACGGTCAAGGAGGAGCGGGACACGCGTCGACATCATAGAGAAGGCGTAGCAGCTAAGCGACTCCAAGTGGGTTTGACAGTTTGGACCTCAAACCGTGGGCTATAGGTTTGACGGATTTGGGTCTCAAAACCTAGGGAGGATCTCGGGACGGCACGTGGCATCATCGGAGAGCTTGTGTCGAGGTGAAGCGACTTCATGAAGGACACGTGGCCGTACGATGCTTGGAAACCAAATTGGACAGTTTCGCCCTCGATGGCTGAGTGGTTCAAGACTAAACATAGGGACACTCTTGAAATTGTGTAATAGCCCTATAAATAAATATAGTGGTTGCCCAAGACAGCCATCTCTTTCACCCCTAAGTTATTTCCTTAGGCTAGCCAAGTGCTTCTTGTGAAGGAGATTAGAAGTAGAGAAAGATAAGCACCTCTTGCTCTAGTTTTCCATCTCAGTTGAAAGGATGAAAGGAGGGGGCTAGACCTGATCTTGTAAAGAAGATTCCATGGTTGTGTTAAATCAAATTGTTTGCTGAAATCTCGAGTTCATCTTTTACATCCTCTGGTTTTTCCTTTTTTAGTGATTTTCGTGGTCATTTTTTATCTGCTGGATTGGCTGTGTTGAAGCCTTGATTTTGGAGTGTTTTTAGGACTCTTGCTTGTTCAAACCATGACTTGAAGCCCAGCTCTCATCTCACAAGTTTTCATTCCTAAAACTCTCCTTTTTAGGCCTCTTTTGATGATTTTCTTAAAGATCTTTGATCCAAAGGTTTTATGTTGTTCGTGGTTGATCTTCAGGTGCTATGGCCCTTTGGGAACTTATCTAGTCACTGGTTTAACCGATTTTTCACGAGCACCTAGAAATCATCATTTGGAGGATTCTTGACAAAACCCCAATTTGGGAGATGGATTTTGAAATTCCCATTCAAGTTTTGATCTTTTTGAGTTGATCTCTTGGGGTTTATTCTAAATGGGTTAGTCAAGGTGTGTGTCAAGTTTCAAAAATTTTGGAGCTCGTTTGACTTTATTTCAAATTTTTCTCGAAGAGAATTTTGCTGAAAATAGTAGAAACTAGCCCAGACCAGTTTCACGGATAGCCTAGGCCAGTTTTCCAACTTGCTCCGATTGAGCTAATTGTGGACTTTTCGTGAGTTGTGTTATGAAAAAAATGGGCTCAAGGCGGTTTTCGTTCCTGGTTTCCGAGTTTGCTCGTTTTGATCTCTGTTCGCTTTCATAGGTTTTTATACGTGGGGCATTTGTAGGGGCGGCTGGTGATTGAGCCGCCCTATAAATAACAACACCAGGGGCGGATGGTGAGTGAGTCGCCCCTACAAATCGACCCATTTGTAGGGACGGCTCGTATTACCAGCCGCCCCTACTGTGACATTTGTAGGGACGGCTGGTCTCATGGGTCCCGAGCACGCCCACTATAGGGGCAGATCCATCACCAGCCATCCCTATAAAAAAATTATCATGTTGCTACAAACATTTTTTTTTTTGTAGTAGTGTTTAGATCTATGTAAATAGATGGTCGACAATTAATTTAGAGTATCGTAGCAAGAACTTGAGAGTCCTTGCTTCGCCCAGTTTCTAATCTTCGTGGCCGGTAGTATATTCTTGGTGACTTAGGGCAAAGTCATCGGTCCTCTGAGCTTGGTGTGCAGCATCAACTGACAGATGTAAGAAGGACAAGGAGGCCGTTTTCTTGGTGGAAAAACTCCATAGTGGCCAACGCCAACGTGACTAAGAGAGTTCGGCAACAAATGGTAAGCATGTCTTCTAACACTAGTTTTGCTTGAGGAGCCTTTGTGTCAAGCCCAAGACCATGATTAGGAAGAGGCTTGGTGACTGGTAATATTTCTTGGTGGAGCACCAGCAGGGGCGAATCTATGTTGAATATAGTGAATGCGGCTATACCCATGCAAAAATTAAAAACAGTGATAAGAGCCAAAATTTCACCATATTTACTCATTTTACAAAACCTTGCATCTACAAGGTAAACGCATCCCCTAGGATTTACTCTAGCTCCGCCCTTGAGCATCAACATGGATTATGGATGATTATGTTGGATTGGACACATCGCCGTGTCTCATCATCTTGGGAATTTGCTCTTTTCCTTGCTTGATCATGTCTTACTAATCAAAACTAATTGCCACGCCTAACCTTCAGCAAACTGTGACTGCCACATAAAGTGTGGCGAGCAAAATTGAAAGCTTCACTTGTGGCAATGTTTGGCACAAAAATGAGTCTATAACATGTGTGATAGGGTGCTAAGAAAGTGTGGCGTACCATAGTTGTGGCAGTGAACCAAACAGCTGCCGAAGAAACTAGACGTGGCAAGTTTTGGTCACCAACCAAACAGGCCGGCCTACTGAAGGACCGAAACGGCGACCAAAGCAGAGTGAATGGGAACCAATTAAAATTCTTTATACGAACTTGGCCTGTGTCCTGAATACAATCCATAATCCTCTTGAGTAGCGCTAGCCAAGATCATGTAGTCACATTGGACCTATTGACCCTAGGAACTAGTCTGAAAAGAACTGAAACGAAAGCGAAGGAGACTGTGTATGGTGTTGAAAAGGGCTGTCCAACACATTGGACATTGCTATGTTTTGTGCTTGAGCCACTCATCCTGAAGGCTAAGTATGGCTGGTTAGACTGTAGTTTCAATGATCTATTGCATCTCCTATCATGGGTGCTGCCACAACCAAACTCAGTTCCCGCCAACACATACCAAGCGAAGAAGGTCATAAGTCCATTGACAATGGGGGTTGAAAAAAATCCATGCATGCCCCAACCACTGTATCCTTTTTCGTAGCAAAACATTCAAGTCACTGGATAAATGTCCCCGGTGTGGGGCCAGTCGGTACAAGAACAATGACCTTCACAGTGGGGACGAAGCCTCCACGAGAAAAAAGAGGAATAAGAAGGGTACGAAAAAGGTGGTACAAGAATCTCAGCCCCCAGAGGACACTCCATTAGGCAACGATGCAAAACTGAGAAGAATTCCTGCCTTGGTAATGTGGTACCTGCCAGTGATCGACCGCTTGAGATGTATCTTCCTAAACCCTAAAGAAGCCGCACTCATGACATGGTGGGATGATGAGCGCAAGGTGGATGATGATAAGATTGCACACCCGGCTAATTGTAGTTAGTGGCAAAGGATCGATGAGAAGCACAAGGAATTCAGCGATGACCCAAGGAATGTACGGTTTGGCTTGAGCACCGATGCAATGAATCCCTTCAATGAGAGGATGAGCGACCACAGCACTTGGCTAGTGATCTTGACCATGTACAATATCCCAATGTGGTTGTGTCAGAAGAGAAAGTACCTTCTCCTCACTATTCTTATTTCTGGCCCTAAACAACCAGGCATTGATATAGACGTGTTCCTCGAGCCTTTGATGCAAGAAATGGAGAGGCTATGAAGGCATGGGGAGCCGATGTACGATGTGTTCCAAAAGGAGGACTTCATATGTAGATCAATAATATTTATTACTACCAATGATTACCCCGCGTTGTTTGCTTTGTCTGGACAGATCAAATGGAAGACGGGATGCTTAGTTTGCTTGGATGGTACTACATGGGTGTTCCTAGATGCATCCAAGAAGATAGTTTACCTAAGGAACC